GGGGGGGGGGTGCAATGCTTCACCAACCCCCTCCGCGGGGACTCTACCCACGCCCCAGCATCTACCCTTCGAGATCGTTGCTTCGCCGCCGCGTGCTGCTACCGCCGCCGGACCGTCGCCGTCGCCGCCGCTCCCGGACTGGTCGTCCTCATCCATTGAGGCTGAGCAGTCCCCGCCGCAACCGCACCAAGACCACACAGTGGGCGACCGCACCGGGGTACGCGCCTCTCGCGCCCAATGCTTCGAGACTGCTCGGCGAGGGGGGAGATCCGCGGATCCGAGCACGCACGAAAGCGGAAGCGCGCACCATCGCCCAGCAACAGCTTTCTGCCCTATCGGTGGACCGGCAGTTGCCATCACTGCAGGACGATGCCGTCACCACGCCTCTGCCTCCGACCGAGATCACCATGGGGCTGCTGGCTCAAGCAAACGAAGACGTCCTCCTCTCCATGCTGGATGCTCTGCGAGTCATGAACGGCAAGACAATGCTCCGGCCAGGATTGGAGGGGGGCGGCGAGAAGGGGGGCGGAGGCGGGCAGCTCGCGAGGAGTGAGGGCGTGGTAGAGAGCACGGGAAAGCTGCTGGAGGTGGACACCGGCGAGAAGGGACGCATGGGGAATGGTTGGACGATCGGTCCGTCTGAGCAGGGCGTTCCGCTCAGACTTGTGGCGCGTCTTGCGACGCGCGACGACCTCGACTCAGCTGTGCGCGAGATGGAGCCGCCTCTTTTGCGACCCGACATGCCGCGCTGCCACACCAAGGACCTCCGAGTACCCCAGACTTTCAAAGAGGCAAAGGAGAGCGAGCACAGCGAGCAGTTCATGGATGCGGCCAAGCGTGAGGTGTCTTGATTGCTAGAAGCAGACGCGTTTATGATTGTTGGACCGTAGCAGCGAATAGACAATTGCATCAAGTCGAAGTTGATTTCTGATTGGAAGGTAGATGCGTTCGGCTTTCCTACGAAGGCCAAGGCTAGACTTGTTGCGAGAGGAGACATGCAGAAGGAGAACATTNAGAAGGAGTACATTGACTTTGGTGATTTGTATGCACCTACTGTAGCTTCATCTAGTGTTCGTATGTTGGCAGCTTTGGCGTGTGAGCTTGACTTGGAGTTGTGACATTTCGATATCGACCAGGCGTTTGTGAGGGCCCCTCTCAAGGAAGATATTTTCATGCGACTGCCGGAAGTATGTGGTGCGTTGTCGGGGAAGATAGTGCAGTTGAACAAGAGCCTTTATGGCTTGAGGCAGGCATCTAGAGAGTGGTACGCGTTACTGAAGAAGTGCCTTTTGGCTTTGGGGTTCGAGCAGTGCATGGCTGATTCGTGTGTTTTTCGTTTAGTCGAAGGGGGGGAAGTAGTGTTGCTTCTCGTAGTACACGTAGACGATATTTTTGCAGTGGGGACGAAGGAGAGGTGTGATCAATTCGGCAAGGACCTGGGAGAGTACGTGCCAGTAAAGTCTCTAGGGGAGTTGAAGTGGTACTCTGGTTGCTATTACGAGAGGGACAGAGAGGCAGGCAGGCTGACAATTTCACAGCAGACATACACCGAAGAGCTGGGAGAGAGATGTGGTGTCGAGTGGGGGGGAGGGCATTCCTTTGCCCACCACCTGGAGACTTTGGGACTTCGACTTGGACNGAGCCTTTATGGCTTGAGGCAGGCATCTAGAGAGTGGTACGCGTTACTGAAGAAGTGCCTTTTGGCTTTGGGGTTCGAGCAGTGCATGGCTGATTCGTGTGTTTTTCGTTTAGTCGAAAGGGGGGAAGTAGTGTTGCTTCTCGTAGTACAAGTAGACGGTATTTTTGCAGTGGGGACGAAGGAGAGGTGTGATCAATTCGGCAAGGACCTGGGAGAGTACGTGCCAGTGAAGTCTCTAGGGGAGTTGAAGTGGTACTCCGGTTGCTATTACGAGAGGGACAGAGAGGCAGGCAGGCTGACAATTTCACAGCAGACATACACCGAAGAGCTGGGAGAGAGATGTGGTGTCGAGTGGGGGGGAGGGCATTCCTTTGCCCACCACCTGGAGACTTTGGGACTTCGACTTGGACGAGCCGAGCGTAGAGTACTCTTTTCGCGCACTGGTCGGTTCGCTGTTGTGGATTGCCTTGTTGACTAGGCCGGATATCGCGAATTCGGTGAGAGCAGAGGCGAGGTACTGTAGTGCACCGAAGTTGATCCACTGGAAGGCTGCACTTAGCATTTAAGGATATGCAGTTAGGACTACTTCTGTGGGGATTTCTTTTCAGAGGAGGACGGTTTCGGGATTCTCTTTGATTGCATTTGTCGACGCGGACTACGCTTCCCGTGCGGCAGACCGTAGGTCGGTTTCGGGAGTTGTAGTGATGTGTGTAGGAGGGGCGATTGCATGGTTCTCCAAGACTCAGAAGTGTGTGACTTTGTCTACCACGCAGGCAGAATACGTGGCGATGGCGGACATGGGGAAGGAGATTTTGTTTTTGAGGCAGGTTTGGCGTTTCATGTTGCCTAAGGAGTTGCGGCCTTGTATTCCACCGTATGAAGATAACGAAGGGGCTATCCAGATCGCAAAACACCCTATCTCGAATTCCAACTCGTAGCACATCGACATGCGGCATCACTTACTCAGGCAGCTCGTAGATGAAAAGGAGGTAGAGATCATCCACGTAGCGTCGAAGTATCAGCATGCCGACTTCCTCACGAAGGCGCTACCTGAGAGAGAGAGTTCGTTTCCCACCGGGACTACGTGATGAACTTGAAGTGATTAGTCCGGGAGATCTTATTCGTTTTTGGGTCTTGTGTCCTTTGTTCTTTTCCTTTCGATTTTTGTTTTTTTCGCGTTGATTTGTTTGATTTTCTGAGAACTCGAGTTCAAGATTGACCGGTGGAAATTGTCACAAGTATTTCCGGTTTAATGGTTGGCAACAATGCAAACCGATAGGAATTCTAACGAATGTTTCTGGTTTAAGGGTTTTAGTGTTGTGACAAGAACGCAGTTTGGGATGAAGGGAATGTCTTGCACTAAATTTTGTTTCGGTCAGGCATGTGGTATGTATGGGATGATAATAAGGATATTATATTATAGTCCGGGTGTGGTCTTGTCAATGCAGCGAGTAGGGGGGCTGTTAGACGTACTCACAGCATCGACAGATTATTGCAAGCAAGAAATTTCCGAGCAGATGGAGCGAGGAGCTTGGGGGTTCAGCAGTTGCTTTGGATTCGATTTGATGGTACCAACTTTGCCGTATACTACAGGATTGAGGGTGGGGGTATGTGTGTGTCTACAACGGATATGGTGATTGTGCGTTGTGGCTTCTCACTTGTTTTTCTTTCCTCTTTCTTCTTCCTGTGTACAATCAAGTCCTCTTTCCCCGGCTATCACGCTACCACGGCTATCACGCCACGACTTCCACGCCAATCCTGGCTATCACGCCACCCGGCTATCACGCCTTCCGGACATCCATGTCCTTACTTATAAATATACACCACGACTATCACGTCACCAGGCTTCCACGCCACATCCAGAGATACCATACCCGAGCTATCACGCTCCATCCCAAAGTAGAAGGCTGTCACGCCCATCATAGTTCCTACACTGCTGTACCGTTGGCGGCTACCGCGCCGCTGGCTCTTTTATTTCCCAACCAAGGGACCCCGCGTGCCAAGGCACCGATGCACAAGGCTACTCAATACACCAGATGCCCGAAGTAGTCAACCGGGTGCCTGGGTGCTGCATTGAAGCCGCTTCACAAACAAGTGAAGATCCGAGGTCTGCGAGATTCTCAGATCTATCTGCGATCTCGGGAAAAGGTTTGAATGCCGTTTGAAAATGCGACGAGATTGTACTTCATCCAATCGTCCCCGTCGCCCGCAGCGAGCAAAGTAGGTACCCGCGCCGCCGTCGCACGAGAACGTGCGTGAACCCAGCTGCAAGACTTGCCCAAGGGTAAGGCCTAAGCTGTTGTAAAATGTGTGTGCAGTGCGCGCTTGGTTTTGCGAGTGCCAGGTTTTTGAAGATCGAAACAGCAATGATGATCCGCCCCCCGGCACGTGTTCGTCTTTGGTTGACGTTGTCTCGCCAGCTGAATGAGCTTGTTCTGTGTCTCGTTTTCTGGCGTGATGAGGCTTGCCAACCTGCAACGCCTATCCATAGGGCCTACTTCATGCGTATAAACTCGAAAATTACAACTCCCATGTAAGGGCCGTTTTAAACACGCTCAAAAATCAAAACTTTTGCTCAAAAGTTTGGAAGATGTCGAAACTTTCGTGCCTGCACGCAGGCGTGATGTCGAAAAAATGTCCAAAAGTTTGGAAAGAAATCTGGCCCAAAAATTTGGACGCGTTAGCGTCGAAAGTTTTGAGGGTACTTTCGACACATGTCAAAACCTTTCTGCGGAAGCGCGTCGGAGCTGCAAGTGTCAAACCACGAGCTCCCTTCGCAGCAGGAGGTCAGCTAGGGTTGTCTTGGGTGATGTCTGGCCGTAGAAAGCGGCCCGCTCCAGCAGAGTCGGCGGCCTGTCCTCGCCCGCCGGCACGCCTGAGGCACACAACAACAACCGCTGAGGTTGCGGAGAAGAAGCTGCTCGTTGCGCTGGTGGCTACTGCTTTTGTTGTCGCGGCGACGGTCTTTCACGCCCTAAACCCCAAGGCAAAGGCACGGCTACCTGTCCATGAGCCGCGGCGCTTGGACTGGGACGAGCATGTGAGAGACTTGAGGCGCCGGAAGGTTTTCAGACGCATGTATCGCATGGACGAGGGCTGCTTCGACAAGCTTGCCGACCTGCTACGACCAATCCTTGAGCGCAACGACTTCTACGCAAGTGAGTGAGAGGAGCGACGGAGAGAGAGACATAGGGTTAGGGTTAGGGACAGAGAGAAAGGGAGAGAGAGGGTGAGAGAG